TTCGAGCGGTCTCGTGAGAACGGAATACCTTTTTGATATCGTATTCGGTTCGTTTGCGTTTCGTTTGCGTTCCCGTGTAAATGGGGTCAGAGGGTGAAAAGAGGTGCTGCAGCACAGGCAGTATTGGAAAAATAGCTTTTTGAACATTAAAGCATGGAGACATGTCACAGTGGAGACACAACATACAAATATGAAACCTGAAAATGAGCTTTAGAGTGCCCCTTTATACATTTGAAGGCCTATGGGCATAGATATAATCTCAAAGAAATCTGGAAGGCAATTCAACAAACTTTGAGATAAGGCTATTTTTATCTAAAGTTTTCGTCATTACTTGAGGGAAAGCTGCCTCAGATTCCAATTACAAGGACATGACTCTCAAACTGGAAAAACACTAATACAAGAAAAAGAAAATGTGAAGACCAGTTGCGGAAAAACAACCACCCAGTAACCGTCCCTTCCCTGCTGTGTATACTTATTACAGGCACCAGGGGTACAGGGGTCCGAATGTTCTCAGGGTCATCATGTTTTTGTTGGCAGCCTTCAGCGGGAGGAGTTTTAACTTCCATTTACTGAGAGCAGGAAGAAGGGCTGTTGGTGAAAGTTGGTCATGCAGCACTGCAGATAACAGTACAAGTATTATCTAATTACTCATGATTTCTTTTCTGAGCCACTGGCATCACGGATTAGAAGATGCATAAGGCGCAAACGTCTCTGGGGGACTAGCCTCTGTATTAGCTTTAAAATTAGCACATTTAACGTTAACAGTAGGTGGTCTGTCTTTTCTTTCTTGCTTGCTTTGATTTGGTATCTATGATTAAAAAGGTTCTGCAGGGATCTGTCCAAGGTCAGCGGGGCACGTGTGTCTCTGGTAGCAGAGGTTTTTCTTGCATCGCTGCGCTCCCTCTGTTCTGGCTGCTCTCCACCCCCCCTTTGGCCATTTTGAATGATAACAGACCATGTTTGGTTAGCTGGTGCAAAGAGAGGAGACAAGGCAGGGGGAAAAAAAGAAGATATATCTGACATCAGACTGGAGAGAATAATCTTAAATTCATCAAGTGGCTTAATCCCCTCATTTTATTTTCCCACCGATGTTAAGTACTTGAGGTGTTTTTGTTTCATTGCTTGAGTTAGAAGAAGTAGCATATTATCATTTTTTTATCAAAAGAGCTAAATATTCTCGAGCTCTAGCTTTGAAATAATGAAGACTAGTTAGTTTTCCTTGTATGATGGTAAACTAAATATCTACAGGTGTGATCAGACAAAAGAAGCTATTTTAAATAATCAGCCTGGGCTTTAAGTCATTGTACAAGCATTTTTAAAATCAAGATTGTTGAGTGTAATCAGAAGAAATATCGAAATATTCGACATTTGCAGGCCTACCTATTACCCTAGCTTTTTTCCTTGAGGTTATATATTTACTTTGGATCTGAAATCACATGGTTGCCTGCTTTTCTTTCCAAATTGCGGTATTTTAAGAGATTTGCAACAGCTTCCTTTAGCCATAAAATGCCAAATCAGAACAAACCTCAGTTCCACCCTTGTTTGTTGAGCTTGTCCCTGTCAAGACATGCCACAAACCATCTGTCTGCTGTATTGCAACACTGGTGCTTTATTTTAATCAGAACTGTTGGTGCATAGATTACATGTTCACCGCACTGCCTGAGATCTGTTTTGGTTACACACAGCCTGCCAGGCGACAGTGAAGCAAACCACCACAGGCAGGCGAGCAGCCAGTGTTTATCTCCACCAGTGCTCATGCCCAGTAACACTGGCACTTGCCCAGCAACACTCATGCAGAGTGGGGGGTCCCAGGCTGCTCTCGCCCCCCCCTCCTGCTGCTGAATCTCTAAGCACCATCTCCATGCAGCCCTGTCATTACCCAAGAATCTCCCCCAGACAGAAAAACAAGACAGACACCTTCCTTGTTCTCCCAGCAGCCAGGTTATTTCATGCTGTCACCACTGCCTTATTCCCTAATGGAGATAGGAAATACAAGTTGATTTGTTTTCAAACGAGGAGGAGGGGGTGCATTATCAGAGAAGAAAAGCAGAGATGATGAGAGAGGAGATGAGAGCTTTCAAAAGCTTTCCATGCTGTCATTAGCTCCCCTGAATGCAGCAGCTAATGTGTGGGAAGGACGTGCATGCCAGCTCTTTACTGTACACACACAATACACACAGGCACAATGGATGCATCATACATTTTCGAGGGAAAAATGTAATTAACATAATTTAATTCACCGAGGGGGATTCGTTTTTGACAGATTCAACGCGTGGCTGTGCCAAAGGAGATGCATTGTCTGCCGTGGTGCTGCCTGGGAAATGCCTTTTTTTAAATCATGAGGAAAAAAATCTCTCGCTTCGTGACTCTGCAGCTCCATGCAGATGGTGTCTTACAACATTAATCATTTTTGTGCACATAAATCCACATTTAAAGCCGAGGAAATATTATTAAAATCGCCACTAACCTTGGTCGGGTCGCCTCCTGTTATCCACTTGTTACAAAGGAAATTTAACACCATGGATCCTCCTGTTAAGTTTCCTGGCAGTCGGACAAAAACGCAGCAAAACGGGGCCGAAGCTGAAGCTCAATGGCGTGGATACCAAAAGTCCTGTGATGATAAGAGAGGTGTGTGTGTGATAAGAGCCTGGGTGTTTTTCTCAGGGTACCGTCTGCAAACAACGAGAAAAGGTTGTGTCTTCAAACAGCTGTTTTCCAAAATGGAGTTATCCGTGAGCAGCCAATCAGAGGCTTCCTCTCCTCTGTTGGTTGGAGCCAACAGCACACTGCACTCTGAAGATCAAACACTTTATACACATTATGCATCTGCCTTTTTTTAAGGGATGAATCATTGTCGCTTTCATGTCAAGGCAGTTTTATTCAGACACACATCAAAACACCAGACACCCCATTTTAGGAGATTTTCCTAGCAGGATTTTCCCTGATCTCCCTCATGTTGGTTTTTATGAAAGGCAGGATTCAGATCCTTAACTTCACTATAGCCTTAAAGCACAAATAGCTGTTACATAATTTGCTGCATTAGGTAAAAGTGTGTCAGTATTATCAGGGATGTGTAAATAAGAGAACTCAATGTTGTGATAATGTCCCCTGTGACTGTTACACTAATACATATTTTATAGTTAGATTCTTATTCCTCATGCATGCATATACTACCCATGTTGTATGCATGCTGTTTGTATAGGACTGTATGACGATGATTTCCATCAGGTTTTGGGTGTAACAGATCACATGTAGCGGGTTGTCAGGATACACAAAAAGGAAAAGTATTCCCTTACAGTTACAAAGCTGTAATACTGGTACATGTTTTTAAAAATGGGGATTATTAGCAGGATCACAATGTTACAATATTCACAATAACTAGTGTGGGTGATCCTAATATACTGTGTTTATTGAACTAAAATGGAGCATTCTCTGTTTGCGCAGATTTGTACTACAAATTATACTGTATGAATGTGTGTAAGAAAGGCAGGTTTTTCTTTTAAATAAACCCTGTGCAGAGGACACGTTTCATACAAACCATCTTGATTTCTTCTTTTATAACATTCCTCTCAAAGAAAACCCTTTGAGTGAAAAACATCAGACTGAAATACATTTCCTAATGTCTTTATTTGCATTTGATAATTAATTAATCCAAAAGTAACTAAAACGGATTGGGTTACTTTAATGATCTGATACTTACATTTTCTAGGTAATTAGTAATTACAATGTAATACATGTTTAAAGAAACCCTCCCTACTGCGATTTTCATTATGGATTAATCTGCTGATTGATTGTTTAGTTTGTAAAAGTTCAGAATATCTCAGATCCAATCCAAAACTTCTGTGAATCATAAGTAATCAGGATATATGAGATTCACAATGCAAAGACTGTCTCTGCCCGTGTTTCTGTTAAACATTTGAAAAGCTTGATCCCAGGCTGAGATAACCCTGATGGCATCACTTTAACAACATCAGGGTTATCTTTCCGGACATTGAAAAGCTTCTTAGAGTCAAAAAAACACATTAAAGATATTTCCAGAGGATGAACAGTAAATTGACTTGAGTTGAGTGCCCCTTTTATGGATCTGCCTTGTTTCTTTTCGTGTTGTCATGAACTAATATCGAATATGATGAGTGGACAGAATTGCTCAATAAACCAGTGTCATGGAAACGGCAGACTAACAGTGTAGGCTGTGTGGAGCTCAAATAAAGCCTGCATGCTCTCTACATGCATGTGTGCCCAAAAATAGATCCTCAGGAGCCGTTACACAATCATGATGCATACAAAATACTACTGATTTCTTTGTGCAAATATGTAAACATATGTCTGTTGTTGTTGAAAGCAACAGATTACAATAACCCATGTACAATTTTAAGATACTTGAGTATACATACATTCTTCTGACAGCTATAGCCGCTTTAAATTTGAAGATCTTACACACAAATCATACAATATTTTTATAAAACGTGATACACTTATGCAGAATTAACTACTAAACACAATTGTTAATTCATAATGCTCATAATAAATACACTTTGCTTCACCTGGCCAGCCTGATTAAATGTGTTAAAATATTCTTAATTAATACAGGTTTGCATGTACTATGTTTAAACTGTGGTATAACTACTTCTACACAAGTACAAATCTACATTTAAAAAACAGTATTGCATTTCTGATCTCTTTGGAGACCTATGAAACCAGTGACACTACTCGAGTCTGTTGCAATGTGTTTTCAAATATACTTTAGGTGACTGTGGCTAAGCGGTCATCTTTCAAGCCGAAGCTTGTCGGTTCGATCTCAGCCCATGCAGTCGATGTATCCTTTGCCAGATACTTAACTCCGAGTGGCTCCCGATGGCCAACGGTGTGTGAATGTGTATGAATGTTAGCTATAGAGCAAGTGGTACTTCTCTGCATGAATGGGGCGAATGACTATAAAGTGCTTTGAAGGGTTCTTAAGACCTGAAAGAGCACAAAGGACACAAATAAGACTTTCTCTGTTTCAGTTTATGGTCTTTACTACCAGCAATATCCTGAAACACAATATATCTTATGGTCACAGACATGCTCAAAATAAAAATATAAAAGACAATCAATATACAAGTTAGCTTCGGGCTACCCCGAGGAAACAGATCCAACATTATTGCACATTTCTGTACATGGCCTGGTGGGAAATTTGGCAAACCGGTTGTATACCTCATGGGACTCCTTTGATCAGTGATGGTTAAGACTGAGTGATGAGAGCAAACAGTTAAAAAACAAAAGTAAAAAAAAAAACACAAGGCAAAGCTAAAGAAAACTAAAGTATCACCAAAACAAAGGCCTTCAAATACTGTGTTAAATTTAGACATGAATTACTGTTAAATCTAATGTATTGTTCTCTCAGTTACAGCAGCCATCAATTTGTAGTCACCCTTAGGTAAGGAAGGCCCGGTTGAGAAAACACATGAATATTGCTTTGGTACAAACAAATCCAACATGATTTATACCACATGGGAAATCAACAGTTTAAGGCAACATATTAGACAGTTATTTACACAAAACACGTTGAGTTGTGGGGTGATGCTACTATAAAGACAGAGCACTGATGGCCAGTAAATGACTTGTGTAATTTTGATTGAATTAAAAGGAGAGGTTCACACTTTTCCATTCCTACTTTTAAACAATACAGACATGCCCATATGTGCATTGACTCCGTTTCTGTCTCCTGTACTGGCTGATAACAGATCGACGGTCCTGTATTTTCAAAGTTCAGCCAGATCCAAAATGAGGCTTTAGCAGCCTGTTAGCCAAATCAAGATGGTAGCATCAACATGTTAGTGTGTTAGTATGAAAGTCCCTGGACATTGTTTTTAGTACCAACATGATTTGCTTAACTGGTACTGCTGAAGGCTCATGATTTGATAAACGATCTGTTGGGAGAAAAAACAGAAAACATCTGACATTTAGAAAAGTAATACTCTCCAATTCTGATATAACTGATGCTACTGCAGCATCTCTGCTAACCTCTTAAAGGTGGGGTAGGTAATTCACTTCAGAGACACTTTCTGTTATATTCCATGGAATGCTCTTAAGATATTCATTTCTATCTGGATGTTAAATGCTTTGACAAAAAAATCCATAAAAAAATGTCATCTGTGGAAGCCGTGGTACTGTAAAAAGCACGACCAATTATTTTCACCGGCCCGGCTAAAATAACTGGATGGCCTACCTGCCTGTCAGCCTTCCATCTGTGCACAAACTTATCTCGTGCCCTCATTGGTCATGTGCGCGTTCGTGTGTGTTGGAGGAGGGGCTCTGTGAGGAAGTCTGAAGGAAGAGGCAGATTATTTTCGGCTGTGTACTTTCAAATTCTAGCGCACTCGAGCTGGTTTCTCCATTCTTACTGTACCTACCCTACCTTTAAGGGTCAGTCATTGTAATTTGGAAAAAACAGTGGCCCCTCTGTGTCGTACCACATCCAAACTGAACTGAGGAATGCAATGAGTCCTTAATGAAACAATTAAATTCAAGGTACTACTGTAGATCATAAAACCCATCTACATCACATGAAAGGAATATGCAGTTGCCAGTAGCCCCTCACAGGACATTGAGGACACAGATGAACCACGTAGGTTGGGACAAAAAAGCATTTCTTAAAGCCTGGTATTTAGTCTCGTCTTGTAATTCTCGAAACCAGCTGCTTTTCAAGATGTTGCCCTATTTCTTATATTGTAAACACATTAGGAAGGGATCCTTTAATGTCTAGTTAGAACAAAGAAATCAGGCAAAACCCGATTCAATGTGAACTGAATGGCAAGACATGAACCTATCCTTTAACTTCCAGATATAACTCCACAGAGGGGCCACTATAATGGCCCAACATGCATCGTGTCAAAAGCCACGTGGCCTGAGCCTGTAGCTGCCTTAGGACCACGACTAAATGCTGGGCTACGTGTGATCTACAATAGACTTTCCACCTACAGTATAGTGCTGCTAAGTTGAGTAGTTAGTAAGGAAAATAAATAATGTATGATATTGGCAACTTGCCCTTTAAAAAAGTCTACACACATGTTTCAGTCGAGAGTCCTCTCAGAGAGTGTTTCAGTAACAGTAGTAGAGTTGAGAGCGCAGCCCCCTGAAGGAGTCGTCGTCCTGCCCCCTGGTCTCCCCTTCAAACAGCATGGAGTCTGGCAGCACCACGCCCTCTAGTGGGTCGGGCTGGCAGAACTCCACGATGAACTCCTCCTCACAGCCCAGCAGCACCCTGGACCACGAACACAGGTCCAGCTGTCCGGCCGAGCCGCCGTACTCCTCCGGCAGCACCGAGCGGGGGACGTTTTTGTGCAGAGAGCGCAGGTCGGAGCCGTGGAGGACGTACTGAGGAGAAGCGCAGAGAACAAGTCAGAGATCTGCTTCATCATTTCAAGTGGCTATGATGGAATATTTCTGTTATAGAAATGAACCGACACACAGTTACAGTATCTCCTAGCAGTTCCCCCAATACCTTATAAGGGATTTATAGCTTCTTTCAGAGCGTTGTTCTGATTTACTCTAATAGGAAACTCTTTGAAATCACTACCTGATCTGCAACAACAGCCGGGCACAGTTAGCAGCTACCAGGTGCACATACTGTAGTGGAGCCTTTAGAGCAGGGGTGTCAAACTCAATTTAATCCCGGGCCACATCAGCATTCTGGTTGCACTGAAAGGGCCGGTTGTAATTTATATTATGTAAATATATAATACAGTGTTTCCCATACATTGATTTATTTGTGGCGGGCCGCCACAATTAAATATCGTCCGCCACAAATGGATCTCATAATATGTTGCCCCCACAAATAGAACCAAATTCTGTGGGAAACACTGTAATATATATTAAATCATGTATTATATTACATTGTTGTCCCTGCATTGGATTATTATCCGATCTGGTAATATCTTCCTAAATAACTACGTCTGAAAGCAGAAGTCTTGGGCAAATAATTGAAAGTAAATATTCAACAATTACACCAATTTTATTGTATATTATATTCTTTGCAAGCTCTTGCGGGCCACATAAAATTAGGTCACGGGCCATATTTGGCCTCCGGGCCTTGAGTTTGACACCCCTGCTTTAGAGGCTTAACAGCACCCTCATCATTTTTATCTAAGTATGCATTAGATAAAGATAAATGAGTTTCATAAAATGCCCGTGAGAATTTTCATAGAAAGATTATTTGATTTATCTGTTTATCTGCTGATTATGTAAATAACCAACAGTGTGCTAAAAGGTTTGCCAAAAAACCTTAAAAAAGGGGAAAGCATGTCAGTGTTGTGCAAAAATATTGCTTCTCTGCCCCCAAATGAAATAACCAATCACTGTAGGTTTGAATGAACTCAAATAACATTCCCAGAATAAATATTTTCATAAGATTTATAAAATACAGGCTTGTGTAACTGGTATTTTGAGTTCATTCCCCGAAAAGCAAATGCTAGACCATCCATTTTCGCAGATGAAAATAGATTGGCTGCGGATAAAAGGGAGGCACACAATTCAAAATAGTCCTTTGTATAAAACAAAAGAGACAGAGACAATGTAAGGACAATAGTTACCCTCTCTGCCATCTTCTCCTTCAGAAAAGGCTTAATTATAGCAAAGATGCCTTTGAAAATCATGGGCTCGTTTATTATGTTAACAGCCTTGATTCTGATTGGGAACCCATCCTGGGAATGAGAAGAGAAACCAAGTTCAGAACAGTCACAGCTGGTGCTTGTCATATCAGTTGAGATTTGAGTGTAAATATGACACACTCTGAAGTCACGACAAAACTCAACAGCCAGAGCTTAAGAGCCACTGTTGTAAATGACGAGGTTTTTTTCCACGTGTGTCAACAGAATCACTGATATTTACTGCTGTGTCATTACAAAATAGAGTGACATTTTGAGCAAATACAGCATTCATACATCAATTCCAAAGAAAAAATTGGCATTTCATTACAATCATTTTATAAACACATTTAAAAAGGACATAATACACATGTTCAGGTTCATATTTGTATTTGTTTACCTCTACTGTTTGATATACTTTATTAATCCCCGTGGGGAAATTGTTTCTCTGCATTTGACCCATCCTAGTGTTAGGAGCAGTGGGCTGCCATTTTGAACGGCGCCCAGGGAGCAGTGTAGGGAACGGTGCCTTGCTCAAGGACACCTCGTTAGCACTTGGTCTTGCCGGGACTTGAACTGGTGACCTTCCAGTTAACAAGCCAAGTCCCTATCGACTTCGCCACCACCGCCCAATGGCTTTAATGTTCAAAAAGCTCTTTATTTTCCTCATACTGCAGCACCTTTTCACCCTCTGTCTGAAACCAGAGCCCAGTCTGCTCTGATTGGTTAGCTGGCCGGCTCTAGTTGTGATTGGTCACCCACTTACAGATGTCCTGCCCCTTAATCTATCATGTTGGAGCACTACCTAACATAGTGATGTCATTATGTTACTGATGTAAACAAAGGAGTTCAATGGAGGCGTTCCAGGCAGACCATATACATGCACAAGAACCTATATAACACACTACAGGAAAGAGAACACTCGAAAACCATAACAGGGCCTCTCTAATACAAACACCTAAAAAGTGTCACCGGATCATTTGACGTTAGATTTCTATCAGATGTCTCACCTGGAGGATGCTCACGACTTTTTTGGCGAGGAACGGGCCAGGATTGGACGCTTGTGACATGCCCACTCCGGTGTAGTCGGCTAAAATGACAATACCGTTGACCTGCGTCTCCTCCGGCTGGATCAGCTTCTCCAGAGTCAGATAGAGAGCTCGCACATTGTCAACAAACGGATAATCATTTGGTTTCCATTTCCCTGTAAAAGAAGATGTGAGTTTATTAAATTCATAAATAATTAGTAATAGGGTAAGTACGTAAAGAATATACAAATGTGAGGTCTACTTGATAATAAAGAGTAACAACAATAAAACGTTATTGTCTAGAAGGGAGTTTGCTTTGCACTTAAAACAATAAAGTACCGTAATTTTCGGACTATAAGGCGCACCTGAATATAAGCCGCAGCAGCTAAATTGAATGATGTGTACATATATAAGCCGCACTGGACTATAAGCCGCAGGTGTTTTAATGTTTAATTACCATATGTAAGGGTTCGTGCACAGAGGGGATTGTCGGGAAAGAGATGGCTGTTTGAGGAAGCTCCCATTTATTAACATTTCAACAAACAAGTTGCATATTTGCATAACGTATTCAAGTGTTAGCATTTAGTGCAATAGTAGCTACAGAACATGTACTGTGCTGTGTAAACTGTACTGTATCACATAGCGTTTCAGACACACAAACTTTTCAACTTTCAAACTTAAACGGTGCGCTCCCAGCGCACGTACCGGCAGTGATCTACAGCAGCGGTTTTCAACCAGTGGTACGGGGACAAACTGTCTCGCTCTCGTAATGTCTGTCTGTCTTGCTCTCGTTCTGTCTCTCGTACCACTCTCGGTTCCACTTTTACTTTTGCGCGCTACCTGTCTCACTCTTTTCCGGCCTCCAGCTTTTCCTGCTGGAACCCGCTGCTTAAAGGTGGGGGTCCGCGGACCAGCCATAGAGCCCATAGAGTTAAAGGTGGTGGCCGTTAGCTGTAAAAATCCATAGATTAGCCGCACCGTTATATAAGCCGCAGCGTCGAAAAATGGGAAAAAAGGCGCGGCTTATAGTCCGAAAATTACGGTATATAAAAAAACAACATCATCAACCATCCATGACAGCACATAGCCCCATACAACTTATTCATTGATCATAAGAAAACATATTTGGTAAAAATAACACAAAAGGACGTTTTTAGAAAGGTGCCAAATGTAGACAGACGTAACCCATGTGACCAGAGGTTGTTTGACAGATGCAATAAAGATGGAGCACCTGGGCGTAGACAGAGGATGTATCTCCCGCTGGGGTCGGGCTGTGGCAGCACTGTGAGGAAGCCCAGGTCCAGGACGTGCTTCACTGTGGACGGCTTCAGGTCCTGGAACACTTCAGGCCAGGCTTTCCGACCCGCGTGGTAGTTGAGCAGCAGCTGCATGGCACGGTCGTAGTCAAACTTCCTGGCCCGGAGGAAGCGCAGTAGGAAGGCGTCATCCAGCCGGGTCCTGAGGTTGGGCTGCTCCTGCAGTGAGGTAAACAAATATGAGTTCAGAAATAAAACACTATACACCTCGTGAGTGCAGACCATCGCCCAAACCAATGCTAAACTCACATGCTTCTCCTGGGTTCCAGATTTGTTCGAAAACATTATGGAATTGGAAAACAAATTAGCTGCTAGGGCTTCAATGAACTATTAAATAAGAATCCCTTTCACCATTTAGGATTCCCAGAATGTATTGAACATGATTGACATTGTATTACATTTCACTTCATCAAGCTGACCTTTTTGATCCAAAACCACCCACAGTAAGTACAATCAACCATAAGGACATCAACTCAAATTAGCAAGAATCCTGCAAGTAGATAAACCTTCAAAAGACCTTAATGCAACTGTATTGGCATCAAGTTATTCAGACCTTTTGAAGTGCTACGTGTAGAAGTAATGAGTTTGCTTCTCTTCTGTTCATTATATTTCCCAAACTAACAGCTGTACAAGAATAGTGCCTTATTATGATTTATTAAATGAAATATGCAATAAAAAAAGCATAGGAGTTTGAGATGGTTGATTCAGTCTTTTTGGGACGGGTTCGAGTCGAGTTACGGACTGTTTTTTTGTGGCCCGACG